ACGTGATCAACAAGAAGTAAAGAAAAATTATATTTGTTTTTCTAATTTTTGTTTTTCTGCTTGATTAAGTGGCAAGTCCGAGCGATTTTCAACGTTTACACAATGCTCTATCAACTAATCTAAAAACGATTAGTGATAATGGTTTGTTGAATAGATCATTATTTACATTTATTTGTTCTTTTCTATTTATTATTTATTTTATAGTTACGGATCTTGAAAAACTTGCTCAAAAGTTAGGTACACCAGAAGATAGTGAACGATTACGTGAACGTTAGTAAGTTAAATAAATAATTATAGAATGAATCTATGGATATTCAACCACTTTTTGAAACAGTGTTTTTTTATCAAATGTTACACACTGGTTCGATGGAAGGCAAATAGAAAATAACTTCGCTCGAGAAAAAGTTATCACTTCTATCTCAAATACTGAAGATTTGGATCGTTTTCTGGAAACATTTAAGGGATGTCATATGTGTTATTCAAATATCCATGGTTTATATTTTGCTCAAAGATGTGGAATGCTTAGACTTGCACAGTCTTCAAAGGATTCTGTTTTCAATATATTATGGCCAAAATACAAGACTGCTACCGAATACTACTACTACAACGCACGTACCGTGAAAAGAGTGTTTATGATCAAAATGGTGCAAAAGCTTTGATTCTTAAAAGCCTTGTATCTTGGCCGTAATATATTGAAAAAAAGAATCCTTTGGAGATTTTGCTGGTCTAGTGATCTCCATCTTTGGGCAAAATACGAGTCTTAAATATTGTAATAAGGTATATGACACCCCTTAGATGTTTCTACAAAATGATTCAAAGCTCTAATATTTTAGATAGACGTGACAGTTTTTTTTCTTCTCAAGTTATTTTCTTTACACCTTCCATCGAACCAGCATATAATATTTGATAAAAAAAATCCTTTTCCAAAAAGTGGATGGATACCCATGGATTCTCTCTATATCTAAACTCAAACACTTTTTTTAGTCACCGTCTTCAAAATGAAACAAAAAATATAATGCAACAAACAAATGATGCTCTGCAAGGACTTAATAATGCTCGTGTATTAACAGAAGCTGATCAGGTTTGATTAAAACAAATTAAGACGACTTTTTGTTTAACAAAAACAAAACAACTCTTTTTAGAGACGTAAAAAAATGTTAACTGACACTTTACCAAAACAATATTTAGCAACGTTAAGTCGTTTTCAACAAGCACAACATATTGGTGCACGAAAAGAAAAAGAAAGTCTTGATCGTGCGCGGGCTATCTCATTTCATCAATATGGAGTATTAGATTCACAATTAGCTGGTGATTTTGTTTCTGGTCCAACATATGATCAACTTCAAAGACAAGCTGTTTCATCTATTGAACAAGAAGTCGATATGAGAGCATTAAGAGAACGTCATGAGCAATTACGTGAACTTGAGGTAAAAGAAATTGAATATTTTAAAATGAAAAGTGGTTGAAAACTATGCTATACATACAAAGTTAATTGTATTTATGTTAAAAGAGCATCAGAATTTCGTATGAGATGAATCTTTCATGTAATAACAATTTTTTATCGAGCGTTCAATCTGTTTGAAAATATCCAAGTATTATGTCGAATAACTATATAAAGAAACGAGACTGATATTATTGACAAATGATGGAATTCATTCAGTATCGATGATGATACTATCTGACAGTGAATGGAGAGTAAGATGCTCCTTCTAGTCTAATAGAATTAGAACATCTACTTGGATAGAAGAAGGATTGTGCTTCAGATTCCATGAAAAGCATCATTTTCTTCGTTCTGTTGCATGCCATCACTGGCACTACTTACGAGGGAACCTTCTTGGTTATTCCTTCCAATATCAAGAATTTTTTCCTATAGGTACTGAATAGTGTTCTAATGAAAACTATAATAGAATATCGCTTTCTTTTAAAACTTGACTAAACTATCAAGTTTTTTAGTATGTCTATGTACTAGAGACTGCAGCTTTTTGAATAATTCGCATTTCTAAATTTGTTATGTGAAGGTTTGCGCATATGAAGGACTTGATTAGGTTAGCTTTCATAAAGAAACTCATAAGTTTTAATCGAATTCTCTTCGATATATGAAACTTTCAACATATAGACCCTTTTTCCTGGATAATGCTATCTAACATGCAATTTTAGGAACCATAATATCTCGAGACGACTTTGTTTTGAAAACTTGTGAAATTTTTTATGGAAGCTATTATAGATGAGTTCTTTCTATGCGCAAGAGTTCATATCAAAATTCATAAATATGCATTTTCCGAAACCGGGAGCCTATAGGACACACACATACTACAAATTCGAGAGTATAGTCAAATCTTAATATGAACTCAGTCCTTTTAGAGTTTTTATTAGAACAGCATGTAGGATCAATAGGCACAAAATCATTGAAATCACAAGATAACATCTGAGGAGATTTTGTCGTTTATCCACACGCTGTATATATGTTGAAACTGACTAAAGTGAACAAGTCTGACATGCTGTATACATTTTTCTGCACATGTGTCAATGCGATTAATTGATACAAACGCGTCTAAGAGTGCTGACTTGTATGAATGGGAAAAATGTTAACATAGGTGATGATACACTCCGACGTTGAACAGAGAGTTAAATGTCTTTTCTTAAAAAACGAGTGTTTTTAGTCGGTCTTTTTAAATAAGTTTGACTTCTTTACGGTTTCCTTGATGCATTCAACTTTTTAAAGGAGCGGTCATAGAAAATGCGACGATTCTTTCTTTTGTACAGAATCTTGCGTTCTTTGAAATGGTATTGTTAAAAAAGAGCTTCGAGCACCTAAAAATTGTAGTAACTGGTTTTTAGAAGCCTATTGCTGTGGTTTTAAAATTCTATATAGTAATCAAAAAACGTTTTATTGAATCAATTATTTAACATTTAGAGGAACATTGTTGAAGTTAATGAATTATTCAAAGATGTTGCTAAACTTATCCATGATCAAGGCGCTGTTATAGGTAAGTTGATTCACATTTAACACAAGAAAGATGGATATGACAAAAATGGAGAACTTAAAAGAAGAAAAAAAAAGATTTAAAGATACTATTGCAGAATCATGTTGAAATCACTGTCTAACAAACACAACATATACTGATCAACTTCAAAGTGACCGGACAATTCGTTGCAGGACAATTCGTCGCAAGACAATTCGTCACGATGATATAATCCAATCATAGTTTATATTTTTGTTTCAACAATAAAGCGACTTATTTAATTAAATTCAGAGCATGTAATCCCATGACTATAAAAAATTATGGAAAATATTACTCATGCTTAATTTCGATTTTTAATCTCGAGATGAGTTACTAGAAAGAATCTTACAAAGAAAAAAAATATCCGACCCGTTTCCTACTTCAAAATTAATGTCAATAGCATGTAAAAAATCCTTGATTACGAGGTATCAACAAAACTATTTCTGAAATCGTATAAATCATCGATCAAATTTGACTAGTGTAGGTTTACATATATAAAGTAACAGGTGATGGTCGCTACAGTAGCAGAATTTGTAAATCTCATGTGAGAATTAAAAAACAGAAATTCCATAGAAGTTGTTTTTTTTCTGATGATGTCAACACTGCTCCTTTTCAGAGAACGCTAAATTTCACTAGTTCTTTTAAAGTATTTTCTCATCATGAGAAGCCTTGAGCTGCAATGAGAATAAAAAAAGGCACAATGTCACTCTCAGTGATATAGAAAAACTTTCTTCACTTGTATAGCTCAGATAAGCTAATTTTTATCCCAACAAGAAGATTATCGTACTGCTCGAGATCAAAAATCGGAATTTCAGGATGAGTAATATTTCCAATAATTTTTATATTCATTGGATTACAGGTTTCGAACTTAATTGAATAAGTCGCTTCATTGTTGAAAAAAATATAAACTATGATTGGATTATATAATTGCGACGAATTGTCCTGCAACGAATTGTCCTAACACCCAACTTCAATAATTAAGAATCTATTTTGTGAAAGAATCATAAACAAAAATGTTCCTGATAATTAATTAAATAATAATGCATTTAAATCATAATTTTGGTACATTTTTCTAGACTCTATTGATGAACATATAATCAATACGGAAGTGAAAATAGAACGTGGTACTCGACATATAGAAAGCAGCGTTAAACATCAGGTTGGTTTTTCTTTTGTTTTATTTCAAAAAAATTGAACTTGTATTTCGCATTTATAATTTTTGATTTTGTTTGTTTTGAAATTTGCAGAGCTCTGCTCGATGTAAAATAATCATATTAGTTACAATTTTGATCATTGTTATTGCCATTATTATACTTGTTTTGGCTTTAACATTGAAAAAGTGATACTTAGATAGGTTTGTATTATAAATAAATTCATGTGTTTAAAGTATTTCGTAGTTTTTTTTTCTTGTTTTTTTTGTTTAGAGACATCTCACTCATATGCACTTCAAATTTTTATGTGTGTTATAATATCAACTAATCAACTATTTTATTCTTCCTTATTCTTATTAATATTTGAAATAAACCTAGCAGTTATTTTGTTCTTTTTTTCCATGCGCACAAACACTGGGTGCAGGATATTGATTGCAAGATCTAGTATTTTGTAAATATCTCAACACAGATAAATTATATTATTTTTTTTAAAATTTGCCGTGAAATTGTCTAGCAGGATGACGATGAGAAATTCCCTTGAGTTACTTTGATGGTTTTTTATAAAGTTAAAAGTGAAAAACTGTATTATGATAAAATATCCATCCTTGTGAGAGAAGTAGCAATGACAAGAGCGTTAAAAAATAGTCTTTTTTCTTATTTTGGAGCTGGGCGTTTTTTGATATCATGAATGTTTATGAAAAATATTATCGGCATCATGTCGTCAGCTGCATGAACTCTTTGAAGAAAAGAGTCGATCACATTGCGAACATATCTCACATCAATTTGCAAGCATGCTCTTTTATTTATTTTTTTGCATCGTTTTATGTTTTGATCTTTTGATGATCATATTTTTATTGACACTATCATAGCAGAATAATATAATGGACTCAAGTCTGGTGAGCGAAGAGAGTAGCGATCTTTAGATGTAAACCCAAGCAGATTTGGAAAAGCGTGTGATAAGCACTACAAGCAGTCGAAAATTTGAAATACGTTTTTTTTTGTTCATTCTCTTTCGATGTCGTGCTCTTAACAACAATCAGATTTCGATCACCGAAAACTATATCCAATCGAGCTTCCACTTTTCGACTCTTTGAATACCATGCGAGATGTCGGCATTCATTCACGTTTCGAGTACGTAACAAGACAAAATCTACCGAAAGATAACTGACAACTCTCTGAGAGCCTTTCAACCACTCAAGGAAAAGAACTGTATAGAAAAGATACTTTTCAGTGTTGTAGCAGAAGCGAGTGCCTGGCATAATAACAGGTCTAGTTGTCGAGTTGTGCTTCGATTACATGATACTTCTTCAAAAAGCAATTTTGAAATGCCTTCTTTTTGTTTCATAATCTTCTAAGTAATATTTGATATTAACTGATGAATACTTAGAGTGAAACATGTAAGAGTTCCGAAAGAAGATATAGTCATTAGGCTTTGTTCTGGTTTTGAACCTTTGAAAAACTTTTTAAATATTGATTCTCTACGGGATCATGAAAATGAGTTATTCATCCTATGTTATATCCTGATGTGAGATATTTACAACATATTAAATGTTGCAATCTTTATGTCGCACCTACTATTTTAGATTGAAATAACGGAGAAACGAATAGTATCTTTTGCAAAGCGTAGTATTCATTTTCCTTTTGAAATAAGTTTTGAAAGTATTATGGAGGATGCTTGTGATGAATAGCTTCAAAAGGATAATAGTTTTCACGATTGTATAGAAGACAAACACTGTTGCATAAATAAATACAGAGTGTTGATATCTTATCGAAGTTAAGAATGGTTAATGAAATGTCTCTGATATTTGAAATATAAATTTTCGATTACTTATTATGAGTAAACCAAATCTAATATTTGAGAATTTTCAGCTTTCAAAGCATCTGAGAATATGATAAAAGTGGTTCATTAAGTAATAGTAATTATGCTATACATTAGCAGTTGATAATTTTTCAGAGATGATTCATGATAGAACCAAGGCACTGATCAAAATTCAAATTGCTAAGTTTTCATGTGCACGCGAAAGACTATCATCTAAAACCACACGCATCCCAAGTTTTAGTTTATTTCGATGTTCTATCGTAAAGTTAATCTAGATCAATTGTTTAGCAGTATCTTATCTATCTAAAATGTATGTGACTTGATGTAGTTTTTGATGTTGATTTCGAATGTCACATTTATTTTGCTGTAGAATCACGTCATGCCATTGAAAACTGCTTAAAGTCTATTTTTTTCTTGTATCTCAAAATCACTATGTAGAATAGAAGTGTGAACCCTGTTACGTCCTGAGGGTAAGCTTTTTTCTCAGGATTTTG